GATCGTGTTAACACAGTGTAGATACTATTCTGTACGCTATCTGGAAGTCGGTATTTTCGAAGCGATGATTTCCAACTGGGTAACAGGACGGTTTTGCCTACGGTGACTTTTCTCATCATTTGTTTACTCCTATATCTATAAAGAGCTTTGAACATCTTCAAGGTATGTATATCATCATAAATATGAGTAACTGTAACAAAAACATGCATAAGAATATAAAATATACGTGTGCATCACACCAACTTGATAGAAAAAAGTGAAATCGATTGACAATTTTGCTCTCGTAGTACAAAGCAAATAATCTTTTAATGCAAATATTTGCATCAGTTTACAGTTAAATATATACTGTTACAATATTCTTTTCGTATTTAAGTAGAATATTCGTATTTCCCATAAAAAAATATGTTTTCCTTGAGGATCCCAAAATAAATTACTGTACGATCAGTCTAGAACTGACTGTATTCTAGAAGCGATTTCAGATTTTTTGACTGTATGACCAGTCGTGATTTTGAAAAAGAAACAACGGCAATTTGAAGGTATATACGTGTCTATGTGATATTATGAACTGTCCAGGGAACTATAACGTGTAATTTCTTTCATCAGACAATACAAATATATTTCTGATGATTTTTGTAGACGGCATTTGTATGGGAACATATATTTGGAATCCCTTTTCTCCTGGATTGGACCCCCTCTCCATTTAAAAATGGCTGGAACCCATAATGTATATTAAGTGGTTTATGAGGAGATGCACTTACAAAACCGACGAAACATATTGTACCGGTCCAACGGAAAGACGGACTTCGTTATCACTATAAACCCCCGCTTTACAAAGTGGTGTACAATTGAGTGTCAAAGACTGAGACAGCTCTACATCAAAAACAAAGTGAAGGAACTGTGATCAATTATAGGCTACAGTACGGCCTCGAATGTGTGTAAATATATACATTTTTATATAACAATTAAATCTGTGTGTTTGTACAATTTTAAGTATAACGGAGGACATTTCTGAAACCTATATATACAACAAACCTTCCTCTTATTTTAGCAACATTTAAACATCCTTATACTTAATGTAGTAAGTCGAGTACACCCCATCAAGCTAAAACATGTTTCATAAGTTTTCAGGATGTGAATTTATTGAAATATATTTGTGTTATTTAGAAAAATGCCACCTTCTAATGTATCGTAAATAACTTTGAAATCACCACTAGAATACAGTGAAATGAAGACTGATCATACAGTTTCAAAATATACAAGCGAGACTGATCGTACAGTGAGAAATTCAAACAAGTGTAACTTTCTTATTTTTGGCTTCAAAGATCTGGTTGAAACTTTTACCACCACTTGAAATATACTTCATTTAGTTAATTACGTCTGGTTTTTACGTTAATTTGTACACTAAGAGGGTAAAAAGATTGTTTTTAGGTTCACCGACTGATTTTCCTTAGTGATGCACTTGAAAATATCTTGATTAAGGCAAATATACGAATAATGAATGTGCTGAATTTAATTCTAAACCATTTGAGAATATCGATGTCAGCTGAATTAATCATTAAGCAATGTACAGATGATCAACTTACCGTTTAATTCAGTATATCCATCAAATTTAAAATGTGATCCAAAAAATTCTCGCTTCGAAAATCGCGACTTCCGGATAGCGTACAGAATAGTATCTACACTGTGGTTAAGTGGTCATATGACCTACATAGACTCAAACCTGATTAATGATTAATTACATACGAAAGGTAGAATTCAATTTAACAACTTTGATCAATGCACCAATTCGAATCTTCCGGTTACAAACGTTAAACTCGAAATTACATATTTGCCAACTGTAGCCGCTATCTAAATGATTGTTTTATTTCAGAGGAAGTAAATTTCGTTTTTAATCTTACACAGGTACTTTTATTTTTTCTGCATTAGATAACGACGTTCGTTAGCCCCTATTGAAATTTGTCGGTCTTATCCCTACCCAAATAAAATTTTCTATTCATACTTTATTTTGTATAAATAATGTAGAAATGACCACTCGAAAAAGCAAACTCATTACACAACTCCATTGCATGTGTAATGGGAATGGATTATTTCCCTTTTCATTACTTAATTATTTCAGGCTGTTAATTGATTTGCTTGATAATATTTCATTTACATTTGATTTATTCTATTTAGTATTCATATATTGAGCAAGACTGACATTTGAGTTCCTTTATTTATTTGGCGTTTGCGACAATTTTGCAATGTTATTTATTTTTGCTTACCATTTTGAAAGAAGTTATTTAAATGAAATAATTAAAATATTTGAATATGAACTAATGGCCTAAAGACGGATTGGATTGCATGTGTGAGTGCGATGCACATTAAAACGAACTACGATAAGGCCTGTCTGAATTAAAGCTCTAGACCAATAGGCAAGCCTCGTGGCGTCATGAAAGCTGAGTATACCTGGGTTTGCATAAATGTTTCCAAGAGTTTCTCTCTTTATGTTACTAAGATGTTTTGATGTGTTAAATGTTCAATCGAATATGTCTTTACTTTCTTTTTATTAAATTGTTATTTGTTTTGCTGCTTTGAGTATTATTTGAAGTGCCTTGGAATATACCCCATACACTGTATCCAGAACCATCCCCTCACATTTTATTTGGTCCCGCGAGTCGGATACAGTTGTTTCTGGGTTTTTTGTTTATAAGTTTGATTCTTTTTCTTAAATTTATATATATTTCTTGTCATGTTTCGGTTTGAAGAAAAACCTTGTTTGTTCGGATTTTGAGATATTGTCTAAATTTGCCAAGAAATACTTGAAGTGTCGGAGAAAACGTAAACAAAAGAAGTGTTTCAACTGTAGTCAAATTGGTCATGTACAAGCCAACTGTCCTAATAAAGTGGTTAAAGCCAATGTTAATGCTGAAAAGTCTGATGTTAGTGGTAGTATTGAAATGTTTTCAGAACCGGAAGTTTTAATCAATGATGATTTCTTTGGACTGGCATACTAAAACGGTTTACCTTGATGCATTTTCTTAGGGTTTATATGTATTTGTGTGTTGTAGGTGTTTTTGTAGTTGTTTGCATACAAATATTGTTCTATACTTTTGTGGCAACAGTTCAAAGACGTGTTGCATATCTGAATAACTGGTTTGTACACATTTTCTTTTTACTTGGTTTAATTGGTGGTAAATACTAGTTTTAGGTTTTATCTGAAGGCAGGTGCATGTGTAGTTTGTAGGATAGTTATTATAGTTTGAATTGGTTTATATTTTGGGTTTTTACTCAATTGTTTGGATTTGTAATCTCCATCTAGATATTTGTATTTAGTGAGTTTATGATGGTCTGATTTTGTGGCTTTTGTTAGTCATGGCAGAAACCAATAGTTTGTACGAATAGTTTGAAGTTAGGAACACTTCTTGCTTTTATAGAACGTAGCACATAGATGAACCCGATCCATCTCAAGTGGCACACAGCTATGTTACTTTAAAAACAACGTCGGAGTGCTGAACCCGATGGTACATGTCAAACGTACCGTCGCGAGATCTACAATGGTGGACTTTACCTGGTATTGCCTCAACAGAAACATAAACAGCGACTTTCGACCGTTACAACATTTATTCATCTAGATGTCCGCCCGATATTATCTGTTATCCGAAACAACTCGGGCAATTTTAGCAATGATATCTAAAGAGCGAGTCCGTACAGAAGTAGCAGTTCAAGCCTTGATGTGATGTGTGTATTCGTGTGCTGTGTTGTGACATTTTATGTGAAACTGGACATTAATTATGTATTTTTGAATTGAACATTTCATGAACATTTATTTGTACATGTGTAATTTGTTGTTTGTGTCAAATGTTAATTCATGAACATGTTTTCTTAAGGGGAGGAATGTAATGGGAATGGATTATTTCCCTTTTCATTACTTAATTATTTCAGGCTGTTAATTGATTTGCTTGATAATATTTCATTTACATTATTTATTCTATTTAGTATTCATATATTGAGCAAGACTGACATTTGAGTTCCTTTATTTAATAGGCGTTTGCGATAATTTTGCAATGTTATTAATTTTGCTTACCATTTTGAAAGAACTTATTTAAACGAAATAATTAAAATATTTGAATATGAACTAATTGTCTAAAGACGGATTGCCTCTCTGAGTGCAATGCACATTAAAACGAACTACGATAAGACGGGTTGCCTGTCTGAATTTAAGCTCTATAGGCAAGCCTTGTGGCGTCATTAATGCTGAGTATACCTGGGTTTGCATAAATGTTTCCAAGGGTTTCTGTCTATATGTTACTAAGATGTTTTGATGTGTTAAATGTTGAATCGAATATGTCTTTACTTTCTTTTTATTAAATTGTTATTTGTTTTGCTGCTTTGGGTATTATTTGAAGTGCCTTGGAATATACCCCATACACTGTATCCAGAACCATCCCCTCACATTTGAATCCCCAACATTGGAACCCCCTCTGAACAGTGCGTTTCATCGTATTTTCTTAAATCATGTGCCGATTGTTTTATGCAACTTCACACTTTTCGCATTCATTTCATATTTCAGCGCAAATGATGTTTTACTTATTACTGCAATAATTGAAAAACGCAATTTCAACCAGTATATGCTTGCTTGGTTATTCGAAATCAATAGTATGCACTCTTAGAATCGTTTTAAATACACGAACGATACATTACGATAGTATGTACAGGTATTGTTTTGAAATGTCATAAGTGTTTTAACTTTTCTCCTGAATCTTCAAACTACACACGGTGGTGTTTTAGAATGAACTACACTATAGAGTGCAAGTTAAAAATATATGTTTACCTGTTTACTGTAACCAACGTTTATCTTTTTGAATAAAGTAGATAGAAAGATCTAGAAAAAAACCCAAAAAAACTAATTTTTATAGCTTAACAATCTGGAAGGTCTGTCTCGAGATTAAAAGGTAAATGTTTATCTTTAAGGTGAACGAGTCGACCGACTAAACAAGATGATCGCATTATCTGACAGAGTGATAATGTTCCAAAGTTCAATGACATATAATTTGTTATGTAAGTTATATGGATATAACAAGTATGTAACGGTAAGTACAGGTTTACTTTGCTGAGAGTACCTATAGGTTGTTAAAGATTAACCTGCATGGAATCCTTTTTCTGCTATTTGGAAATTCAATGTGTCAACTAGTTTAAATCATAATATGTAGCGAAAACAAGATGTGAACATTAGTTTTAAGAACGTTATAGTTACTAGCGTGTACATCATAAAACTTTATCTTCATTTTAATACAAAATAAAATTAAATTGTGTATAACTCAGAGGATCACATTGACTGCGCCAGAGAGACAAACGCATTAGTATAATACTTTAACTAAATTGATATTAAGAAATGTAATATTTGCCACTGTCAGATACTTCCGCAATCATGAATTAAAAATATTCCTTTAAATGTCGGGTAATTCATTCCATTACACTATTCATTTTTTGAACATGTTTACAGTTTTTATTTAGGGTTCCAGATTTGCCTACGCCATTTATTTGTAGAATTAATTATCTTACCAATTGCTCTGAAACTTAATTTGGCAGAAAATAATGTATATCAAATCTTTATAAAAGGAGTTAGTTGAATACGGGCCCTATTTAGTTCCAAATTTTAAGTCTATTAATTCAAGATAAAAGAAAAAAGCGTTTAATTTGGCTAAAAGATATTTTCGAAAAAGTGAAATAAAACTATTTTTGCGATCATCCCTTATAAAGGGTTGATATATCAATTCCAAAGTGGCCAAACATAGAGATTTGGGTTAAGTTTAACAACATCATCTGGACATTTAGGCCTAGAAAAAATAAAGCACAGCGTTCGACAAACTTAATATTCAGGTCTAATAAATAATTTGTCAAAAAACGTTTGTCAGCGTACGTATGCGCTGTATGTTTCCGGTCATAAAAACAAATGGAAATTTTACTTGAACTCGTTGAATTTCATGGAAATCGTTTAATGCGGACAAGTTTAACATTTCTTGTAGAAACCTGTTGACGTTTGTCGAAGAAGTTGTTTGATAAGAACAAGAAGTCACATGCACAAACAGGTCTCCACAATGATAAATACAATGAGGATATTAATATGATAGCACATTATGCATGAAAAAATAAACATAATAGTCTTGATGCACATTTAAAAAAAGGTACAAGTTATAAAATATAAAAAGAACAACACATGCATAACATGCGTAGGTACTGGCAGGAAAATACGGACATTTATGGAACGCCACAGCTGTCTAATGTGATAGAATGCCATTACGTAATGTGGTTTTATTTTTACTTAATGATATTTTGTCTTTACATAATATGGTTTTGACATGACTAAATGATGTTTTGATATCACTCAATATATGGTAAAGCCATTGCTTAATCATATTTTGATATTGAATAAAATGTTTTCGTAATGACTTGATATGGTTTTGTCATTACTTGATATGGTTTTGTCATTACTTGATATGGTTTTGTCATTACTTAATGATGATTCGTTAATTCTTTAAAGTGGTTATCACAAGAAACGGTGATGTTCCTCTGGCACCGTCTTACGGTGTGTATATATCCCAACTCTTTCACTATGCCCGTGTCTGTAGTGACGTTTTGGACTTCAATGAGCGTAATCTATGTATTACTGGTAAATCATTAAGTCAGGAAGTTCGTTACCAAAAATTACTTAAAACCTTTACTAAATTCTTGCACGGAAATTAACATACGATCCGGGTAAACCTTATCAATCCTTTAGATAAACTTGTTCTAAAATGTTGCCAATTTAACACTATAATTTGATCTTTAAATATTGTTTTTATTGGTATAAATATTGATTTTGTTATCAGTAAATTAAAACCATACTAAATAGTATTGTTACACATATGCCATTTAACGGTACAATCTGTTGATACCTTTATTTTGGAAGTGCACAAAGTCATGTTTTTCTGTGACTGTTAATGATGTCTTTACATTAAATCCATTGGATGTTAGATGTATACTGATTGATATTTTAGTCTTAGATACATGATTTTTTTTTATTAGTTGTTATTGGCTTTAAACTAGCTGTCAGTAACTGTGAGTACTCTCAGATCTGTACCTTTTTGTTGTTAGGGATAAGGGCTGGATAAATAAGCTGCCACGTCCGGTCTGTGTTTTTGTTTGATGTTTTTTTCTGCTTTGTATCGATGACATGATTTAAGCCTTTTTCAACTGATTTTTATAGTTTGTTATTATGTTGTTCTGTTACACCACTGTCATAGGTTAGAGAGAGGGTTGAACGCTCACAAACATGTTTAACCCCGCCACATTCTTTATGTGCCTGTCCCAAGTCAGGAGACTGTAGTTCAGCGGTTGTCGATCGTTCATGTCTGTTATATTTGTTTTTTGCGTTGATTGCTGTGTTATAAATTAGACTGTTAGTTTTCTCAATTGAATTGTTTCATATTTTTCATGTCGGGGTCTTTTATAGCCGACTATACGCTATGGGTTTTTCTTATTTTTGAAGGCTGTGCGGATGCCTATAATTGCTCACATCCACTTTGAACTTGGTTGGATAGTTGTCTCATTGGCAATCGTACCACATCTTGATGAGGCAAAACCACGTGACCATTTGGTAAAAATTAATTCTATTTTAAAACCGATTTTCATGTCGTTTGTTTTTTGTTACTCCGATGAGTGTAGCTATCCATCTAGTAAGAATTTAAATAAAAGGTCGAGTTACTGTTCAGAGTTATTTGATATGAAACGGGGATTGAGGGGCATACGTACATTATGGATTAACGACATCAACAATTAGAAAAAAGAAATTTAAATTTTGTAGCTCGCAAAACATCATAAAGTCATGTTAAAACCATATTGTGTAAAGACAGAATATCATTATTTAATAACAAAACCGCATAACGTAATGTCAGAGTACCACACAAGACAGCTGAGGCGTTCCATAGATATTGTTAAATTGAAATTTGCCAATCTAATAACAAAATAGATCCTTTGATTGCTCAGTTCTTATATTTTGCGCCTAGAAGCACGAAATATCAGACTGGGAGCAATTAAAGAATTCAATTCTAATTAGATAGGAAATTTGCTGTGATAAAATTTCGAAAATCATTTTGTCTATATGCTATTTTGTTTTTCTTTGTTGACATATTTGTTTTCCATTGATTAAGATTATAACACAATGTTGACTGCAAACCCCTATTTTTGACTTTTTTCCTATTATGTCTGTTTGTTTTGTTCACACATTATTGTCAATATAATGGAATTTTGTGCAACTGTCATATAAGTGAGAGGTTTAGCTAGCTATAAAACCAGGTTTAATCCACCGTTTTCTACATAAGGAAATGCCTGTACCAAGTCAGGAATATGACAGTTGTTTCCCATTCGTTTAATGTGTTTGAGGTTTTGATTTTGCCATTTGATCAGGGGCTTTCCGTTTAAACTTTCCTTGGAGTTCGGTATTTTTGTTATTTTACTTTTTAAGTTAAAGAATATATCTCCCATATGCATTACTATGATTCATTGTCCAGTTTCGCCTATACTTTATGTCCTTTTTTATCAGCTCTACAACGTTTTTATTTGGTTTTGGATTTTCAACTAATTTGGCATCGATCATAACTAGAGAGACATTTATTGTCAATGTGCGGCATCTAGTGCTGTAAAACTGGTACCGTTATGTTATCAAAATAGAATATAACTTATCTAAAACACATAGATATTTGTAAACCTCATTATTTCAATTATTTATACTTTATTATGTTTCTCACAGATATTAAACAAACTTTCCGCAAAATGTCGATATTTAGAGACGGAGCATTATTAGCGGCTGGAGGGTCAGCGGGTTTGTCCCTTCTAGCATGGAGAACCCTGTTTCCGTGGATAAAGTACGATATACAGACAATGAAAGGATTGAAGAACATCGGAAAACAGATGAACGACGATATTATAAATAATCGTTTACTGATTGACCACTTTGAAGCATCCGTCAAAAGATTTCCACAGAAGACTTATATAATATATGAAGACAGATGCTACTCATTTGAATATGTCAACACTCAGGCATGCAGAGTTGCAAATATAGTTAGGCAATGGGGGCTAAAACAGGAGGATTCAGTGTCAATTCTTGTTCACAACAGTCCAGATTATATTTGGACATTTCTTGGTAAGATCATTATAAATTGTGTTCACAGAATTGCCATTAAAATTCTGTTATAATTTAGAAAGGTCTATGACGTACACGTATATACTTTCTAGGACACTTTGTGCAATGCTAAATAGATATAAGAAGATGTGGTATGAGTGCCAATGAGACAAATCTCTATCCAAGTCACAATTTGTAAAAGTAAACAATTACAGGTCAAAGTACGGCCTTCAACACGGAGCCTTGGCTCACACCGAACAGCAAGCTATAAAGGGCTCACAAAATGACTAGTGTAAAACCATTCAAACAGGAAAACCAACGGTCTAATCTATATAAAAAACGAGAAACGAGAAACACTTATGAACCACATCAACAAACGACAACCACTGAACATCAGGTTCCTGACTTAGGACAGGTGCAAACAAATGCAGTGGGTTTAAACGTTTTAATAGGCGCCAATCTTCCCCCTACCTGAAACAATAGTGTAACATCACATCATAGAAAGACACACTATAAAATATCAATTGAAATGGCTTAACTCAATCAAAAGATATTAACAAAAACAAGTGAACATACACTGAACGAGTAAATTTGATCTATGACACAATGTAAATATAAAATCAATAAAACAAGGGGTTTAGATGTTAAACAATATCAGAAAGACAACCATAACCTTGGACAAAATGCCGCCAAATAAAATAACGTACACAGGTAAATAAAACTAATTTTGTTGTATGATATACATGGAGTACGGAAATAATTTTTACAAAATAAATAATGACTACAATAACAACATTTAATCCGGCTTCAAACTATAAATGACCGAATTAATGGTTTGTCCTTAAAGAAAAATAAATGCCAGACACAACGAATGAATAATAGCGGTATAACCTTTACCAATATCTATATTAATTTATACAAAAACGGAAGGATTTACTTATAAAAATAAGGAGATGAGCTATTGTTAGTTTAAAAATCTTACATCATTTAAGTCTTTTTTTTATAATGTAACAAGACAGGTTAAATGTAAAATATCTTAAAAGTCTAGCGAGTAATTCCTGATTGAGCAGGACGAGCGTTTTGTCAAGGAGGACAGAAAGGACATTTCCGGTACTATTGACCTCCTTATTATATTATCGTCATATTTTTTTTTCTTCAAACGTACAATTTCTATATATATGTTTTTAACCTTCTGGAAAATAGTCTTAGAAGCGTAATACAATTATTGCTACTTTTCGGTTGCATTATTATTTGAAATTAAAAACGAATTCAATATATAAAGCTGAACAAAAATATCAGTGAAAAACACACAAACACAAGTGCACAAACACACACATAGAAAGATCAAATATGAAATTGTAATATAAAATCGTAATAATCAAGTAATATAAGTATTTAGAACAACACCAATTGACGTGTAACCGTCCCCTGCTATTGCATACTTTACAATCAAAGGCTGTATATGCATTCAATATTTACAGGTTTATTGAAATTGGGTATAATAGCAACGTTATTAAATACAAACGCTCGAGGCGAAACACTGATCAACGGTATGGATGTTACTGATACAAAAGCTGTAATTGTAGGTCAAGGTAGGTAACATATATTAATTAAATCCACTGAAACAAGTAAAAAACCATAAACTTCGAAGTAGACGCAGTCTTAAATCTGACCACAACTACGTTCGTATCTACATTTTATATATCATTTTTTTGTTATTTCATTGCCCTAATGTAACAATTAGATCACGACTGTTCCTTAACAGGATTCTAATCAGTAAAAATAATATATTGTTTATAAATATTGTTTTATGAATATTGTTTTAAAAATATTGTTTATACATATTGTTTTATAAATATTTTTTTATAAATATTCTGTATGTAGATGGTAGAATAACCCGTGTAAATGATCCTAAAGCTCTTCAACTTCATACTTTATTTGGCCTTTTTTGATTCGAGCATCACTGATGAGTCTTTTGTAGACGACATTTTAATTCTGGTACCGATATCTATGATGAGTTTAATTAAAGACTCGGGGCAAAGACTGTCAACAATTATTCAGACAGATCAGCAGAAACACGTGTCTAAATATTGACGAACATTGCATGTGTTTACATTTTATAAGTGCACATTGCATTCGTAGCGTATGAAAACTTTTATTAATTCATTTAAAAAGTAAATCTAAATTCTTTGATTTCTCAGAATTGTGATACAATGGACATGTGTATTTATCTTGATTAGAATATTAAGATGTTTAGATACTGGTTCATTGTTTAGCGTATATTAATAAAAAAATCAACTGAAAGGGTTTTAAACCCTTTTCTTGTGAAATTAATATCTGTTTTAGGGGAAGATCTTTATGATGCCGTCCATGAGATAATGGATGCAATTGACGTACCAGTATATGTCATGGGGAAATTTCCGAGTGCTGATAGTCGTTTCCGGTCTTGGGACAGTCTAATGATGCAGTCATCACCGGCAGATATATCCACAACTGTTCGAAGTCATATTGATATGTATAGTCCTACTTCTTATCTATTCACATCTGGTACAACAGGTATAACTGTTATGTTGAATAGCATTCTTATATGAAGCTCTTCCTTTGCTCTATAAACAAAACCATGTTGTAATATCAATAAAACCTATGGTGCCCTTGCGGGGATATAATTAAAATTGAAATGTCAAGTGATCAAAATGAATATTTCTGTTGTTGCTGCTCGCTAGTCATAAATAAAATATATATTCCGATTTGGACATTTTCCTTCCTCTGCCCTCATTTTGTTTTCATTTTTCAAAAGTCTACTTCAAAATACATTTTTATTCCTACATAATGCAGATATATTCAAAATTTATCAATCGCAGTTATACTCTCTGGTTTAACATGTACAACAATAAATATTTTTATACATATATACTAAAAACTAGTATACTATATAGCGGTATACTATATTACAGTTTTATGACGCAAAATTTTGTTTGTTAGATATCCGCGCTTGGAGCATCATTTTTTTTAGTCATTGTGTGGTTTCATTAATATTTGACATCTTAAACGTACCGTAGAGTATTAACGTAATTTACATGAACAATGACACTGTTCAGTTTTGTTAATAACCTATTACACGTACAAAATGTACAAGTACGAGAACTACACTGTAATTTCTGAATTCATCTCTTTTTCACAGGACCTGTAGGTGTTAAGGGCTTTGACAATGTTATATTTTTTCTTGAGTAAAGTAAAAATATGAAGGTGTATTTTTCAAAGAGGACGTGTTATATATAAAGAAAATATCAACCTCGATTTAAGTATTGTTCCACTGGCTTATTTCAAGTGAAAATGATTAAGACCTTTTTTTATGACAGGGCTACCAAAAGCAGCAATTGCCCTGCAAGGAAAGCTTTCTCAGTGGGCTCTACTTTTTAGATCAATTGACGTTAAACCAGATGACGTTGTATATGACGTACTACCATTTTATCATGGAGTAGGTATGACTGGAATGTTGAGTGCAGCTAGTGTAGGTAGGTTTAATACCCATAAACCATGACCACGTCAAGAAGGCACGAATTTATTATCTTGAACCTTATTTCAGTAATTAGATCAGGATAGCAATTTTCTTGAAAGACTATTGATACATTTTCCTGATTTTTTAACTTGTCCTGATTACATAAGAACCATTCTGAAGACATATTCGGGGCAATCAGTGGCCTTGTGATCTAAGTATCTTATCAAAAGGGACTTGTTTGATGTATGTCGCATTATACTATTACTTTTAAACTTTGTTAATACATACTATACTTATGAACCCCAATTAGGCTTATGTGATTATTTTAAGTGCTGCATGACATTACCGGAAACATTTGCCCCTAGGAAAAATAAAAGACCAACGAAGACTTTTTTGTTTGTTCGCCTGTCTTTTGCTGTTAAACCCCACTTGCAACGAACTTTGTCATATCATGGCAAACAGTCTGTATTGCTGGAGGAAGACGGACTTCCCATACAATTCAAAACTTTGAGTTGACGTAGATGTGATCTGTGTTAAAAAAAACTACTTAAACTACTAGGACACGGAGGCCCCGAAGGCGTTTTTATATGGATTCAAATGTAAACAGGATAAATAAAATTCCAATTCTGTACAAAAATGGTTGCCATATGTTTTCTCATCAACAGATTGCAAAAGTAAAAATATCATAAAAAAACTGACCTTATATAGTCATTATTTCTATAAATTCTCTAGTAGAAGAAAGCTGTTTTCATCTACTTGTTTATGAGCATATAATTGGTTAAGAATGACAGCAAATTCTTTTTGAAATAGATAAGATACCAAGCAGCACGTGCCAAATATGTGTACGAAATGATGTGATCGACCAGTTGATAGGACGTTCCGAGAATGTGTATTCTGTCAAAAGAATCTTCTTCGAGGATTATCCTGATTAATAATGATGCTACTGATTAAGAATTTGTCACGGGAAAGCTTTGGTTTCATTTTGAAATAGACATAAGAACTGAAATTAACGTGTCATTGACATTATAATTTTTCCGTTTGTCGTTGTTACAATCTCGCCTACCTCTCAATGTTCATACTTATTACCAAATATGATTTTTACCTGATTACCAGTGCTTCGAGGACTTGTATTGCAAATGAAGAACCAGGTTGTTATTTTACAATGTACACTTTGCTTTAGTTTCTGCTGTTTATTTTTTCTATATCTCTTTTATTGAGCGTCAATGTCTATGTTCATTATGCGATTTATTGATTCTAATCTAGGTATACGCATTATGCAATACTATGCTGAAGAACCTTTCCATTCTTTATTGGTGGGTCGAATATTTTTAACATCACATTCATTTTGCAGGTTGTTCAATAGTCATACGTAAGAAGTTTTCTGCGCACAATTTTTGGGCGGATTGTAGAAAATATAAAGTGACAATTGTTCAGTATATCGGAGAATTGTGCAGATATGTGTTAGCCGTACCGGAGGTAAATTAATCTTGAATATTATAACAAAGTTTCATATAATAATAGTTAAAAATCATAAACAAAAACAGAACAAAATGTATTTTACAAAAAATTGAAAGAATTAAATGAATAAACTAAAGCAAGCAACACACAGGTTATTATTGGAAGTGGTCTGTTTTTGTTTTTTTATGAAAATTCATTGTGACTTGATTTGTAATCACACGTTGAAGATCTCACGTTTAAGATGTCTAATATACATGATAGTTTATTTGGTTCATAAAATAATAACTATTAAAGTTGATCGACAACGGTAATTGACAAGACGTGTTATGGAAATAACAACGTCAATAAGTTGACAATCATGGAGTTCAACCCAAGGAGAAGACCGTAATTGTATCAAGTTTATATAACTACATTGCGTTTTATATCTAATATTTATAATGCTAGCAATCCTGCAGTAGTGTGATAATAATTTCATGTCTATCTTGATTACATTTGATAGTCATATCTGATATGATATAATTTATATCAGTAATTTGACAAAGAGCGGTTATCCTATACACATTTTATCATGATTATAAATATCTGTAATGATGATATAGAGGAAGCATTTATAGCTGTATTGTAAGTTGAGGTTTCGAAACTAGTTTTTATATTAAAATAATAAGATATGGTATGATTGAAAATGAGACAACAATCCACCAAGGTACAGAGGACTAGGTATATTCTTAAACCAAATACGAAAAGCAATTATGGCTAGCTGCAACCAACGATAGTCACAAAATTAAAGACTCCTGACTTGGGACAGGCACAACCATAATGTGACTTGGTTGTTCATGTCTGTGAGCGGTCAACTTTCCCATGACCAAAGTCAGTGTCGAACTTTACAGCAGAAAACCAACCATAAAAATCAATTATAAAAAGCTTGGCTCATGGGAGCACAACAAAAAGATACAAAACACGAAGAACCGATCTTAGCGTACTTACATTTACTAAAAGCAAGTTCAAAGTCAAATTCAGCTTATCCAAAAATAATCTTTCCCAAACTAAAATATAGATTATCTAACCCCATACGCATGTGTCTGCTCAAAGTTCGGACCGCCTCTGTGGTCTCGTGGTAGCGTGTTCGCCTCGAGTGCTGCTGGTGGTCATGGGTTCGAACCCCGGCCGGGTCAAAGACATTAGAATTGGTATTTGCTGCTTCTCCGCTAAGCACGCGGCATTAAGGTGTAAGAGCAAAGACTGGTCGGCTCGGAGTCAGAATAATGTGTCTCGGTAAGGTAACATGTCTTCCTTGTGGACTGTTACCTTGTGAACTAGCATGTTAAAAATCCGACTCAGCGTGTCGGTCTGCTACAAAGCAGGGTTAATATTCATATTACATTAACATGTTCTCGTTCTGAATATGCATATTAATTTGCTGCTGGATGTAAAGCAGCCATCCATTATCATCATCATCAAAGTCCGGAATATCGCCAAGGGTTCAACTTCTTGTCTTTCCTAATTAAGGGAGATAACTGTAAAAATCAGTAGCTCGCCTGTGGTTTCAATAATGCTTATAATTCCATCATGTGAAGCAGAATGAAAAAAGATGTGTGTTTCGGAAATATTACCTCAGAATATATATATATATATATATAAACAAGTCTAAATTGAAAACAACGTTCAAACCTATGATCCAGTGACTTTTAAAAGTAATTTCCCTTATCTTATAGGTATACATTCTTCATTCAATATTCTTACGTCATTTAGGAAATTTATGATTGTTACTGAATGGTATGCTTGTATTAGGGATAAATTCGAACATGACATATTGTAACTACCAATGCCAATAACAACAAACGGTACCAATTCTACTGAAACAGTTATGAATTTCGACAATTAATGACTATTCAGTGATAGTCGAGGTCAACATATATTTGAAAATCAAGTACATAAGAAACGCTTTGGTGAATTATATCTAATAAGGCTGATTGTAACATATTAAGTGTTTTAATAGTGATAGTTTTCTGTAAAGTAGATACAACTTCTTGCGACGTGACAAACCAAATTGATTAATTCGTTTTGTCGTAAGACATAATAAATAAAAAAAAAGTTTGATTTTGTTTAAGTGTTTGAAATAATGATAACTTGGCAAAATGTTATTATGAGCTAGTATGGCACACCGAGAGGATATGAATTATTTTATAGGATTCAAAAGACGGAATTCACAACGTTCGAACTTTCATTGGAAATGGCTTGCGACAAGATATTTGGACTCTACTACAGAAACGGTTTAAGATACCTAAAATTATTGAATTCTTTGGTGCAAGTGAGGGCACTAGTGCAATGGTAAATCTATGTAACAGACCAGGGGCTGTTGGAAGAATATCTCCATTAATGGTAAGATCTATACACTATTACATGCATTTGCTGATGAAAAGGCCAATTCCATCTTTATTGTTTGAATATTAAAACACTAAGTCTTGTTCTACGTCCTGTACATTTTCTTGCAGCAATTTAAGCTCGGTTACTTTGATTGCAGTCAATCAAGTACTGTTTAGTCGTTTTCAGGAAATTAAGTATTTATTAAATTGTTTAGCACAGATAAATAACAATCACTCAACACAATACAAAATAGACTAGACGAATTTTGATTGACCAATAGTATGATAATGTACATGAATATCATAGTTACGATTATTTTCAAACGAAAGGAGGAAAACGGAAAACGGAATGAATTTAACATGCAAATCTCAACTCCATTTCTTTTAAAAAAAAAATCGATAAGATACCAAGATGGCAATCGAATATCACGAGTTCAATTTGGAAAAAAACAACGATAACAAAAATACCGTAATAAAATTTAATAGTGATTAAGATTATAACACAATGTTGACTACTGTACCCCTATTTTTGACATTTTTACCTGTTATGTCTGTTTGTTTTGTTCACACATTGTTGTCAATATAATGGAATTTTTATGCGACTGTCATACAAATGAGAGGTTTAGCTAGATATCAAACCAGGTTTAATCCACCATTTTCTACGTAAGGGAATGCCTGTACCAAATCTGGAATACGACAGTTGTTTTCCATTTGTTTGATGTGTTTGGGCTTCTGATTTTGCCATTTGATAAGGGACTTTCCGAATTGAATTTTCCTTGGAGTTCGGTATTTTTGTTATTTTACTTTTTTCTAAATAAAAAGTGAACCAGAAATATTGGTTGTGAGTCTTAAATATAAGATCCAAATTCCCAGCATTCATGTAAAAATGTGTTGTTATATGGGTTCATGTAATTTCGTAAATTCGGTTATTTGGTGTATCATCTTTAGAAATAATGTGGGATTTCTATAACAGTATGGCCATGATAAAACATATAAATCTTTCGGCATAAGAAAACGTTAATTGTTTTGTGTTTTGAAAAAAGTTCACGCAGAGTTTATCTTTTTTAGAACAGATTGGATCCTGCGCCTAAATTCTTGGTGAAATATGATGTTGTAACTGCAACACCGCTACGTGACAAGTCAGGACGATGTATAAAAGTACAAATAGGTATATACTATACTACACATAAAAATGTAGTTTGTGGTGAGGCAATTGGGTCGGAAAATACCCCGATTTTGCTAAAAGTAGGCAATGATGGCTAAATAATATAGAGAACGGAAACCCAATCAAATCCATCTTTGTCTAAAATGTTACATTTTTCACTGTTTTTTTCACTTGTTCATTTGATTAATAGCGTATGATTATGTCAGTTTTTATGGACTTCCTCTTTTTGAATTCATCTTTGAGTTCGGTATTTTTGTTATATTTTTTTCATATAAACATGTTTTATTGTTAGAAACAGGAAGTTTGTCTCAATCAATTTACCAAAAATCACCGTTTTCCTTGGAATGTAATTTCATGTTCCTAATGAACGGATTGTATTTTTAGGGTAAACTATACCTTTGTATTTCCTGTTTGACTTTGATTGATTGATTGGTGTTCATCGCCACTTTCAGCATTATGGCGGTCAGTTTTTATTGGTAGAGAAAACCGATGTGTCCGCTGGTCTGAAATAAGTGTAAATATGTAGTTCATTATCTTAAATTTGATATCATATGATAGTGCACGTGGTTCGGACATGGGTTCAATATAAACATAATATAAAAATTTAATAGTTCGGAATTGGATTGAAGATAAAGATAACATGCCAATTAAATGTAATGAAATGAATTCATGTTAAAGATTCTATACCAAATTATCAGTTCAGAAACTGGTTCAAGATAAATATGATATATAAATTGAATATTACGGACACGGTTCAAGATGAAGATAGTATATCAATTTTAAAAAATGTATTTATCTCTTCAAACTTTAGTCTTATGTCACAAAGTTTGTATTGCGTAATCATGAATTGAATTGACAAAAAACGTTTATGTTCTGCATATCACGGATGAGTTTCTATTGGTCTGTTATATTTACTTATCATCTGACAAGGAAATAAATAAAATCAAGGACCAAACAAATTTCCATAAAAGAAATTGTAAATGTTAATCAATACGTTTAGTAACATGTACTTCGCGTTTCGTCTACAAAAGACTCATCAGTGACGATCGAATTAGAAAAGTTATAAAAAAAAGCAAATAAAGTACAGAATTGAAGAAATAAATAAACGTTAGATATCCTCTCGATATTACACAAATAAGAAGATGTGATATGATTGCCCATGTAAAACATGTTCCTCCAGAGACCAAAAAGCTTAGAAGTAAGCAAATATAGGTCACCGTACGGCCTTCGACAATGGAGAAACCCCGTCCCACATTGCAAGCTATAAAAGGCCCCGAAATTACAACACGTAAAATAATTCAAACGAGAAAAATAAACGCCCTGATATATGTACACAACAGTAAAGAAAAATTAATAAGATAAACAGCAACTAACGACAAACACTGAATTACAGGCTACTGACGTGGGGCCTGCTCATACAGAATGTGGTGGGCTTAAAAATGTTTTTATTGTAGGCTATTCGTATATTTTTTATTCGTCATCTGACTTGTTCCTTTTCAGTATAGACAGATATCCTTTTTTTATCGATATTTTAATTTAATATGGAATAATAATTTCAATTTCAATTTTTTTTAACTGTACAGGAGAACCTGGCTTATTTATATGTGGAATTCCTGCCTTAAGTAACATAGAAAAAGGTTTGTACAAAGGTAACATGGAGATGACCGAGAAAAAACTTGTACGTAACGTCTTCAAAGAAGGGGATGCTTACTTCAACTTTGGTGACTCGTTGTATTTAGATAAGGATTATTTTGTTTATTTCCATGACCGAGTTGGTGACACATTCAGGTAAGCGATATTACAAATTATTAATTAAACGAAATAACGTTTTTGTATTTGCAGACTGCCCAAGCTATAGCTAGAGTTTTCTTGATCGACTAAGCTACTCTATATGAAAACAATGTATTGATACCTTAAGCATAGAGAAACTTAAATATTTGTCGAGTTACGATTATTGCTGCTCAAATAACTACCACTGAGTAGACAAGGTATATATCATGATGGAATCACAAAAAGGGATGCTAAATTTGACTAGATAAGAAATTAAAAAAATATATGATCTTAATGCGGAACGAACGTCAATTCATGACCTTTTCACATACATTTTTTTATGTCAACGAAATAGGCCTGGTCAAACAGTCTACTGTGTTTGTAATTGATGTGGTATGGTCCATTTTCGTTGTGAAGCTTTTGTTTAACTCATTATATATAACACACATAATATAAATCAAAGTCAATAGATTTATTGCTTTGAACAAATGTTCGTACATTACGATCGGTTCTAACTTTTCTATTTCGTTCTACTATGGTTTTTATATCTTCGTCAATTTTTAATATAATTGATTTCTGCGTCGAGTTCCATAATGAAGATTTAATAAAAATAAATATTCCTACAAAATACAAAGCTCATTGATAAAAGCCGTAAGAAGTAACTATTATGATTTATAAAGATAACAATTATTTTTAAAAAGGGGAAATTTCTTCTAAAAGTGTAATTATATCACTATAATTACTGTCCGCTAGATATTCCTAATCTACGAGGCGGTGTATCTTCCATTAAACCAATAAATAAAAAACCGTTGAGATCAAATCTTAAAACGGATTTGATGTTTATAACTAGTGATAGCCGTCTCTAATTGCAACAGAACGGAAACCAAGATTCAAAATTCTTCTTCTGCCGGAACGAATGCTATGCAAATTATCCCAACCTCTTGATAATATAACGGCCTTCTTTTTGTTTATTAAAGTACGCATTATATAATTGAAAGACAAACGGTCTATATTGCTTACATAGTAAACAGTTGAATCTCGAATTGGTCGGATTGACAATTAACAAATATAATATGCAATAACAAAATTTTGATATAATCAGTAAATATAATGCAAATGAGTCAATTGGGTCGTTCATTTTACGTAAACGGAATTTTGAGAGAAAGAGTTTAAAAGTCAACTGCATTTGGTTTACACTTGTATTTATATTGTAACTATGCTATTTGATCAAATACATTGACCGTTTAAAATCTGGGTTAATACAGTTACTGAGTTTACAAAGCCTTGTTTGTGGCGTCGATAATGTGTTTCCGTAAAGTATAATGTTTCGCGTCGTTAACGCCGAATTCTTAAACTTTCCGCTCCAAATTCTAGATTGTTAATTTCGACCCAAAACATTTCATTTGTGTACTGTTTTAAGAGTTGCAGTATAAAGGAAACGGTCAACTGTTGTTTGAAAAAAGATAAATTTGTTTGTTCTCTGCTCCAAAGACTTGTATTTTATTGTTTCATAGTTATGTACACAAACAATTTATATTTGGAGTCAATTCGTAGATATTCTTCATTTATAAAATAGTTTGGATTAATTTGTTGATTATGAGGACCCAAGTTCGTACTCTCCTTAATGTACTTGTGTACATTTTAATAATCGTTAATTCATTAATATGTAAATTTCAGATGGAAAGGTGAGAATGTATCTACAACGGAAGTTGCCAATATAATAACCGCATTACCCTTCATATTAGATGCTAATGTATATGGAATAACCGTTCCTGGTAAGGACTAGATCTAATCTTGAAATGATGCATTAGAAAATAACATTTTCAGCTCCATTTGTTTCATTCTTAAGGTAGCACAATACAAAAAATTTTCAAAAACTTGTTTTCAGCTGATTTTTTTACATCTTAATATTCCAAAAGCACAGATCAAAAATATATTTCCATATCTTACACTGTTAATGAGTTTTGATGATGATAAGTTTTGTAAAAACAAATCCACGTGTCTGACTGATACAAGATAACAATATGTGGGCAGAGCTTTGTGGTTAATCAATAGAATCATTTAATAGCTTCATGGCTACTGACCAGCTCTAGAAATTTGTAATGGAAAAAGAGGTGAATTAGTGGTGTATAGATGATAGAAGATAATAAATTTCAAATAAAATACATTTATATATTAGAGCTGCCAGGCGAAAAAACAAGAAAACTACTTAGAGATAATATAGCTAGGAAAGTAAAATATATATGTACAAGTATTTCACAAACATAATTATTGTACACCAGTTAATGATGCTGATATTACTGGTGATTCTAATATAAGATTTACCAGAAAAGAATGTTTCAATATAGATTAAGTTAAAAGATTTAAAACCAAACACAAATTATTTTTTTTTCAAACTGCAAAAATAAAAAAGTATATACTATTTTCAAAATGTGTAAAACACCATATTTCATTGTATATGGTCATAATTCTAGATATCTCCCATATGAAGCCTCTAGACTGACCAACTGATCATTTGATGTATACATGCATAACTTACTTTTTGGGAAAATGTTAAAAATAAAACATATTGTTTTTTGTATTGAATGAATAAAATCCAAATAGAAAAACAAATGCAATGTGTAATTAAATTTCTGAGATCATTAATAGTTGCTGTTCATTAAGGTGGGCGGAGTTTTGACCATATCAGTAGCAAATGACTTAAATCAAGGTCAATTGTGATATAACTTCTCCAACCAGATATGATTTTTTATGCAAAGCGGTTTGCATTTTCTTTATATATTTAGAATGGCAGAGATAGCGTGCTTTCTTACTGGCCAAAACCTAATTGATTTATAATTTTAAGGCCAATCCTGAAGTACGTATCCCCATGGTACATATAAAAATAAGAAGATGTGGTGCGATTGCCAATGAGACAATTCTTCACAAGAGACCAAATGACATCGAAATTTTTAACTATTGGTCACCGTACGGTGTTCAACAATGAGCAAAACCCATACCGCATAGTCAGCTATACAAGGCCCCGAAATAACAAATGTGAAATAATTCAAACGAGAAAACTGACCTGATTTATGTACAGAATAATGAATGAAAGACAAATATGATGTACAGCAACCACTAAATTACTAAGGCTCCTGACTTGGGACAGGCCCATACAGAATGTGGCGGGGTTAAACTAGTTTGTAGGCGCCAACCCTCCCCTAACCTAGGACAGTGGTGTAACAGTACAACATAAGAACAAACTATAGACATCTAACAAAAACACACACCGGACGTGGCAGGGTACTTTTACATCCCCACAACAAAAAAGACGCTAAGTACAGATTTGAGAGTACTCGCAGTTACCGAATATATCGAAGTTAATGAGGTTCAAGTAGGAAAATCCGTAGTTATTCAATTATAACACAGACATTTTTATCATGAACATGTATTTTTCAAAGAAATTAGCTCCTAGATGGGTGCCCCTTTATGCCTGAATTTAGCACATATTGTTCTTTGACCAGTTATCTTCAAAACCATGTCTCAGATTTCCAATGACATCAATAGAACAAATTTTCATTTTTTACACCCAATTAAATTAGTGTTTTCTTATAAACAAAGGTTGCAAACTTAATTGAAGGTTAATGAGAGAATGAAATACAATGGGAGAAATCTGAGACACATTTTTTGATGTCAAACTGTGTTGCACAAGAATCTTTCAAAAATTTTGGGATGCGATTAATAACAAAGAAGTTAATTTCATTCAAATGTGGACAATCTAGCAGCTAATTACATAATAATTTAATTACAACCATTTGAAAGAATAATCTTTCTTCTTTCTATTGGTTTCTCGTTTATTAATTCAAGAGCTATATGAACGTAATTATATCAGTTTAAAGTTGTCTGACTGGGGGTGAAAAAATCTTTTTATTGTGGTACCTTAAACCTTGAATTAAATCAATGATAATTTCCATCTGTTTTTCCTGCATGCTGGTACAGTGCATGTCAGGACCAAAATCACTTAAAAAGTTACAAAAAACAAGTTATCAAAACCAAACTTTTGGTGAACACATATAAGTATAACGAGACATGAAAATCGAAAAGCATTCCAACGATACAAAGACTCATCTAGACAACACTATACAATCGTGTCTACACAATATGTAAATATGTACTTTTTTTCGGAACGGAAGTATTTATCATCTTTGCTTATATTCAAATATACTCTACCGTTCGAAAGCTGTTGTCTTTTTCAGCTCTAAACAATGCAGCAGAAACGGTATCTGTCGTAGCTTAATCGTCAATTACGTCACTCATCCAGTAAAAAAGTATTAACAAAAATACCGAATTCCAAGGTTACGTTTAAGAAGTGGAAATAAAGGCAACAGAAGTATACCGCTGTTCAAAAGTCATCAATCGATTGAGAGAAAACAAATCCGGGTAACAAACTAAAATGGAGTCAGACATCTTTAATAGATTAATAAAAAAATGCAAAGGGCATTTGCTTCGATTAAGGCAAAATTTAAAATTCGGTTCTTTTTGTTTCAAGTATTATTCAAAGCGGAATATTGAAATACTATTTCATTATAAGCAGTCCGTTTGGTCTAAATTTGTCAAAATAAGCTCAAAAACATCGCTGATGTATTATTGACTTCCAAGTCAATAATTTAACCCTATTTAATCCGTATTCATATGACCTCAATTTAACCCCTTAGTACTAGGCTTGTTCTGCTATTAAATGGAAAAAAATGTCAACATGGAAAGTGAAGCAAGGGTGAACCATTTGGTTGATTGATTCGATCCACAAAAAACATTCTTATACAGGTAAAAACGATGATTAACCTATTTCTTTAACCTATTATATGAAATCACACAGACCTTGAAAAATCCTATTGCACATGGTCGCTGTCTAATTATATTTATATTTATGTTTATATAGGGTTATATGACCATCGACAGTATTCGGAGGTCTTCTCAATGGTTAATTAGATGGCGTCTAAACTAAAATACACACGAGTCCATACATTGTTTATTGTTTATTTTAGACTTTTTGTAATTTTCATATACGTTTCAGTTTATCATAAATCAAAAATGAGAATCACTGAACATGAATTTGACAGCGAATGCCTCTTTAATTGATGAAACGTTAGAATTATGAGGCAATACAAAAAACAATAAATGTCATTTTTGTACAATGTATATATAACTTATCATTTTAAAATTGTCAACGTATATCAAAAACAATAGAATATACTAGTAATTGTAATCACAGGTCATGACGGACGAGCTGGGATGGCATCGCTGACCTTGAATGATAACGTGGAGTTGAGTGTAGAGAAGTTACACGCCATTTACAATCACTTAGAACAAAAATTACCAAAATATGCAAGACCTATTGTATTAAGATTGGAAGGAAAGATGAGAACAACGGGAACCTTCAAGCAACAAAAAGGAGACTTAATGAAAGAAGGATTTGATCCAAATATTGTATCGGATCCAATGTTTTATATGTCAACAGAAGTAAAAACATATGTCCCCCTTGATAAGGGAAGCTATCATCATATGCTTCAGTCCAAACTTTAACTTTATCATTGAAAAAAATACAGAAAATATTAAAGCTTCTCTCGTATAATCAGCTTTGAAAAACTTATGTAGATTACGGAAAAGTGTTCACTTTTCATCATAATGATGTGCATGTACCTTACTACCAATGACACAATCATATTTATCACTGATTGATGCACTCTAATTTTTTTCATTTATGTATGGAAAATTAAAAATTGCTTGAGTTTGTTAAGAGTTATGTGTTAATTTTATCATATACATGATCATCCGCTTTTGTAAGTTCTTATTGAAAGTCTTGCAATAATGCACATTCAGTGGTGTTAATATGTGCAAGAATTAAATAGATCAGATCTTGGGTAGAATTCACGGAGAATCCAATATTTTAGCTTGGTGGGTTGGTAACAGTTTAATGGGGTTGTGCGGACTAACTACTTTCATTTTCATTTTAAGTACGAATTAAAGAACACAAGATATTTTATAAACAGAAATATAGCCAAGTATACTCCCAAATAAACATTTATCTCCAAATTCAGGTTCCGCAATCTGTTTGTTAGCATTGACTCAAATATTAGAGACATGCTCGAATTTCAAGTAGATTTCGTTTGAGTATTACTAGTATCAGCATTAAATTGCATTAATATGGTATTTTGCATCTGCATTCTGCAATTGGCATAGCTCGATAGAAAGTTGTAGATCAAACACGATGTCGGAAAAAATCAATAGTCATTGGATTTTAGAAAATTACAACATACATACAAAAAAATACCAAGGGGTGATTCAGATTCCTATTTCGGATAAGGGCAGACAACATCATGACATAAAGGGAAAAAACGAACAAAAACATCAACAAAGCTCTTATTCTACAATTGAATATTTCAGAACAAGAGCCACATACAAAACCTGCTTTTACTCAGATGTTCCGTGTGGTTAACAGTTCCGGGTTAAGAAGAGGCACTCGTCGCTGATTACACGTGCGTATCCAATGACAAGTTTTTTTTTGCGATGAAACATTTTTAAATTATGAATTGCGGGTCAGACAGATAGAATATATAAACGACACAGATATTCCATATTTATCAAGTTAGTCTTGATATAAAAAGCTTTAAATGAGGTAGCCTAATCTTTTCCCCTAATTACCATCTGTTCAGGTGGTTCATTGGAAGCAACAAGCCGATGTTCTTAACATAGATTGTCAACCTCTCGACTGTAATTATTATCACAAAGTATCTGTCATTTACACGGGTGGCTACGATTATAGGATTATTTCCGTGTAATAGAGGACAATATCAAATCAAAAATGTTTAATCTCGAATGTAAGAAAATGGATGGTTTAATTTTTGGAATTTAATTTGTAAAAATACTTTTCACAATTAGTAACTTCAAAAATCCACTGTACAAAAATTAAGACATGGATCTGAAAACAAAGACACAGTTAATACTTGAATCCTTATATAAAATGTGTTTCTTCTAATTGTTCTGACCTTTGTCTTATTGTAGTTTTAAATAATTTATAAAAAAGATCCTATTAATTTTTCTGTACAATTCTCTTTATTGATTACTGGACATTTTGTTGTTATATACAACGCATTGTAATTGTCAACCTTAATACTACACCGCAATACAACAAACTCTAAGTTTTTCGGAAACAGGAAATATAAAGGTAATATTTGTCGTAAAGTAATATCAAAGGTTTTACTGAATGACATTATCACTGTGGAAAATAAAACAGTACCAAGGAAACAAAGAAATAGTTCTAGAATATTTTATGTTGTAATTTTTTATATTCAGTTTCTTTGCATTTATGAAACATTAGTATGGCATTGTTATAATACTATGTCAAATCGTAAAGTTGTCTTTTCAGATGTCATGTTTTTTATCTCAAGTTATCAAATCACTCCAACTAATGTAGATTGTCAGTTGAAGCCATGTAAAACACATTGAGGCTGTATGATCCCTGTACAACACATGGTATTTCAATTGTTTATAGCATCGTGTGACTAGCGCGATAAGTTTCTTCAGATGTATTGATAACATCGCCTTATTTTATATTTATTAAAACTAAAGTGTTTATAAGAGTTTAAAATTGATCAGGAATAAATCAAACTTAAAAATATCTTTTCTCTTTTATAATTAAATATACTAAAATACGATCATTACAAAGCGGCCTTTTCTACACATTTGCATACAGTAAATGAATGTTTCGAAACTTAACAGATAACCTTGGTCTTTTTCTTATGACGCCGAGGTATAAAATTGATTATCCTCTTATGGAGAAATTATGCTTAATGTTAATTGATGGACACAAGAGGCAACATCTCTATTGTCAAAATATTTGTCTATAGTGATTATCTGTAATTTTTGCCTTTGACTTTCTGAAAGAATAATGCTCGTTTTCTAACGGAGGGATTATTTTAATAAGATGTGTGAAAACAATACATAGTGTAACGCCTCTGTAATGCCTTTAAACTTTTAATGTCGCATAGAAGAAGGAGCGCTACAAGCAAGATTCGTTGATTAGATGTGTTTTCTATAACGATGTATTAAACGACGGGGATTTTACTTTCTGACCTTGACATTCAATTACTTGTATAAAAAAAGTAATTTTAAAAGTACCAGAAACCTATATCTTTATTAAGTTATAGGATTACTTTCATCTTCTCTCATTAAGACTTATTCGTAATGCATCAAATATTTAAAGGTCCTATCTACTAAGCGGATTTCCCACTGAAAGCACCTATTGTATCGCAAAAACATTTTAACCATATTAAGTACATTAATACTTGTATATTCAATCTAAATCTTTACTGCAAAAGTTTTTATTTGTATGTTTGTCTATTGTTGGCCGATTTATGACTCTTTTCACACAGATTAGCATTTATTGATAGCACTACATTCAAAAGTTTTGAACTTGATCTAAATATCTCAAAACATGTTAAGTGTTTCATTTTGATATTACACGTATGTAGCCATTGCATAAGATTGTAAAACAGAGTGTACGAAGCAAACACAAACTGTCAGATTAAATGAAGCTTCGTCTGCTGACTTTTGTATACAATCGAGCTACTCTTTTCATGGGAATTATTTCTACTAAGACTCTTATTACAAGAAATAAATAGATTATTCTTGAAGTACGTGCTCCCTACATTCACGCTGACATTCTAAATAATAAAATAAATGTGTTTGAGTGCGAAAAAGTCAATCAATAGACTTACCATGCTTTTTATATCTTGTCTTTATATGTTGTTTAGTCCTTATATTCACATTTCAAGTTATAATTATAGACAATCGATTCCAATGATCTATTTTATTATATAAAACTTTATATCACTGGAACATTCCTGTACCAAGTCAGTGATATGACAGTTGTGCCACATGTGGAGCAGGATCTGCTTACCCTTCTGGGGCACCTGATATCACCCACAGTTTTTGATGGGGTTTGTGTTGCTTAGTCTTTAGTTTTCTATGTTGTGTCATCTGTACTATTATTTGTCTGTTTGTCTTTTTATTTTTGGCCATGGCGTTGTCAGTTTGTTTTCGATCTATGAGTTTGACTGTCCCTCTGGTATCTTTCGTCCCTCTTTTGTTTTCCATTCGTTCCGTCGGTTAATATAGTTGCTATAGTCGACCATGTGATTATGTAAGGTCTGTCCACTTTTTGAATTTACCTTGGAGTCTGATATTTTTATCAAAACTTTTTTATTTGTACGTCTTTTAGACGTTCCTTTCTAGATGTACCTTTATTAGAAACGCCAAAACGCAAAATTTTAAAGCCAAGAATGTATATTCCCAATCTTTTATTTGATGTGTTATGTTTTGTTGTTTGTTTTCTCGTCATATTTTTTTTTTTTTTTTGCTATATTGTCGTCTGATTTTATTAGACTTTTATGTTTAATAACCTCCTTGGTATCTTCTTTTTCGTTTTTCTTAAATAACTGAGGATTTATATATATGATCAAAAATGAATCCATTGAATAGCCATATAGATTTAAGGTCGACTTTGCCTGCGGTAGTTTGAACTTCGGTTTCTTATTGATTTCTTGATTTACCAACGAAGAATTTACAAGAGGTATGTTAAAAAGCATGTCAATACCGGCGAAATTACTACTTCGATGTTTGTGACTAGCAGTTTACCAGCATTGTTAATGGTTAATGTACACAGGAAAAATTGCAACATATGTTTTTTATGTTTTCAAAACATATGAAAAACATATGATTTTCATATATTTTTCATATGTTTGTCCAAACATATGAAAAACATATGTTTACATATGTTTTGAAACATATGAGAACATATGAAAGTAAACATATGTTTTCATATGTTTTATAAAATATGTTTACATATGTTTTAAAGGACATTAAAAAAAATGTTTTGAGAAAATGTAAAAAATTGACATACATTTTTTCATTTATTATCTATATAGCGTATTTCTCAAACCGGAAAGTTCACTTTCTACTCTTCCCACTAAATCCCACATGATCATGATGATGAAAGCATGTCAGCCCTGTCAGTGTCACCCCAACAGCAGAGCTATCTAATTTTGAATTGAACAGAATGTAAATTAAGTGAATGAGTTATAAATATTAAATAATAATATGAATAAATATTCTTTATTTAGTTTGTTCTTTATTCTCAATTCTTTTTTTTATAAATAATCCCATTATTCTCAATGATTCTTTATTCAATATTTCTGCTTATTTTACTATCTGTTTTTTATTTTGCACTTTTTGTCATTATTTTCTATTCTTAAACCCCCATCTTGATTCCAGACTCTCAAATGTACGAAAGCTTGCATGGTACGTCGAACACGGAAACCCGGAAATCTTTTCACCGTTACCATTTTTTGTACTATGTCGCAAAATCCATGGACGCTCACGCGATCATCTGCTGCTGTCTTTTTAAAAGTTTTTAAGAATGGACAGAGATAGATGATACAAGGAACTTTGGTTTTTCAAACTGGTGAATCAAAAATGTATTATAAACAGATAAATTGAAAAGGGTGACTTGTCGATTAACTGGAAGAAACCGGGGAACGAAACATAGAAAATTTATGAAACTATTGAATGTCAACGCAACGAAAGTCAAAGTGTTTTTGTTTTGATGGATAATTTTACGTACCCTAAAAGCGCAACGAAAGGTAAATATTATTATGCACATTTTGTTTAATTATTGGATAAAAGCAGGAAGATGTGTGTGTTTTATTTTTCACGAAAAACTATTTGACTGTAGATATTTGTAAACCTGAGAACGATATTGTAATATAAATATAATTGCATTGGGTAATCCGTTTCATTATCTATTTATATGTCATAAAGAGGATATTACAAGATTAAGACACACATACATCCCAAATAACCATATAATTTATAAACCCTTTTGACAATAAGACAAACTTGGAAAAAGGAGGGGGATATATCATATACTTCATTACTTGATGTAATGTATTGAAATTGTTTATCTAATGTCACAACAGAACTTAATTACTTTAACTGATGCAGACCTGCATATCTTATGATACATGTGGGGTATTTGTATTTGTTTATCAGTTGTTTTAAAACCATGAAACTGTGTAGACGACTTTGTTATCTCTTTAGCAATTAATAGCTATTTTACACTTAATAGATAGGGGTGCCCCTGGGGATCAATTACTCCCCCCTTTTCATGTAATTTAGATTTAAAAAATGTATATACCTTTTCATACATTGCGTAGGTCATAATGTACATGTAACCTTTTCCCAATTTTAATTATGAGTGATTCCAGGACATGCAGGAGCGGACAAGAATCACATTCCGGCATTACCAAGAAAATCATCACATTTGATTAAAGCTCAAATCTAAGGCTCAAATTCCTTATTTTATGTTAACTTAAGGCAAAACAAGACTTGCAACTAAGAAAATTACAGGGCTTTGCATATGACAAGTACAATAAGCCTTAATTATCCTGAGTCTGAGACTACTGTTACTGAGTACTATAACAATAAACATCTAGTAATTCTCAATGTGACAACTATCAATTAAAAAACCAAAGGACGAAGATGTAAACATTTGCTGGTCACTGTACAGCCACAAACAATGATCAAAATCTATACCATAAAGTAACCTATTATGGCTGTAACTGGTATAAGGATGAAAAAATGTGAACCAATGAAAAAAAAAAAACTACACACAGTATGGCAGACAGCACCCAACATAAGAACCAAATGTCAGAATCAGCCAGAAAGTGTTGGACTCATCAACAAGCACTTAAAAAGAAATAACAAAATAACAAAATAATAAAAGATGCAAAAATTAAGTTTTTCCCCAACTAAAATGTTTATCAGTTCACCTTATTGTATTTCAACCAATAAATGGGCTTTTGATGAGCTTGCAACTTCCGTTGCAGAAAGCTCGACATAGGGATATTGATCAGGCGGCTGCGTCCATGGTGGGGTTAACAAACTTCTTAAAATCTTTATATTTTACGGACGCTTCATACTATGTACAATGTATATAGATGCATATGTATGTTATGAAGTTTCTGTCAGTCAACTGTCCATTGTCCTTGAATTCATTTTCATTGTTCAGTGATTACCTGAAAAAATAAAGATTTTTTGTATTGTTAATTTCTCTCATAATTTCTCTCTTATTAATATTATTTATAGTATTCATGGTAATAGGATATTTATATCTACTTAGTATGTGGGTACCTTGTAAGGTCCTAGTGTCTGTCTACTCTGTCAGAAAGTTTTCGTGGTCAAGTCAATATCTCGGGTATTATAAGCAATAAGTCTACTATATTCGGTGTATGGAATTATTGTAAGGTGAAGATGTCCAACTGGTAGTTGTAATCTGTAATAAGTTTTAATGTTTTGGTCTTATTTTTGGATACTAAAGCATTCAGTCAATTATATTTGGTGTATGGAATGTTTGTAAGGTGTACTGATCTAAAATTGAGAATTGAAATGGACATGTGTCAAAGAGACAACAACCCGACCAAAGAGCAGAAAACAGCCAAAGGCCACCAATGGGTCTGACAGTAATCACCTGAACTTGACCTCATCTCCATGGTTCATTGGATGTTTGTTTCTTGCTTCGTCTGTTTTCCAGATACTATAAGGTAAAGGTGAACTATTTTTGGTTTCTGGAATGATTGTAAATTGAAATTGTCTTGCAGGCTTCATCTGACCTTAACCTTGTTTTCATGGTTTATTGGTCAATATTAAATTTCTCTTGATTTGGTCTTTTTTTAGATACAGTCATACTAAAAGAATAGGTGAACTACTTTATGTTTATGGAATGATTGTAAGGTGTTTATATTTGTCTTGCAGGTACAATTCTTGCCAGATTTTTTAAAACTTATTCTATAGGTTAATATCAGTTTTATCCAGTCAAGTTTTATAAATTTGGCCGATAAACATTTTCCCCTTGGAAATAATAAATTTATGGGAAATGGCCTCGTAAATGCTCTCATTTTTTTTTATTAAACTTAAACATGTAGTATACTATCATAGTAATGCCCTTGAAGGTCGGTTTGAAATATTTAGTATTAAGAAAAAGAACTTTTTTCCCCCAAAGCACATTTTTTATTTATAAATATTTTTGAGAACAAAAAAACATGATTTTTTTTTAATATTGCCCCTTGATAGATAAAAAATTGTACGACTAGGTGGACATTGAAACTCTGTTCTTTTATTTTTACTTGCAGGAACTGAAAAGTAAAGAAACAGAACCAAAGAACATTAATTTTAGATTAATACAATATTGAACTCAAAGTCAATTTAGTTGTCTTTCTAAATCATACAGGATATTTCCAAAAAAACAGCTGCATACACATGCACCAGTAATAGACAGCAGTGAAGCCAATTATATATCTGTGTATGGTGATATAGCAATAGAAATATCACATACATTATAGGAAAAATGGGGTATGTCAAAGAGACACACATAATGACATATGAAAATAGAATATAGACATTAGAAATGGTGTATATCAAAGAGACACACATATGAAAATAGAATATAGACAAAAGAAATGGGGTATGTCAAAGAGACAAACATATGAAAATAGAATATAGACAAAAGAAATGGGGTATGTCAAAGAGACACACATATGAAAATAGAATATAGATAATAGAAATGGGGTATGTCAAAGAGACAAACATATGAAAATAGAATATAGATAATAGAAATGAGGTATGGCAAAGAGACACACATATGAAAATAGAATATAGACAATTAAATTTGGTATGTCAAAGAGACAAACATATGAAAATAGAATATAGACAATAGAAATGGGGTATGTCAAAGAGACACACATATGAAAATAGAATATAGACAATAGAAATGGGGTATGTCAAAGAGACAAACATATGAAAATACAATATAGACAATAAAATTGGGGTATGTCAAAGAGACACACATATGAAAATAGAATATAGACAATAAAATTGGGGTATGTCAAAGAGACAATTATGAATATAGAATATAGACAAAAGAAATAGGGTATATCAAAGAGACAAACATACGAAAATAGAATATAGACAATAGAATGGGGTATGTCAAAGAGACACACATATGAAAATAGAATATAGACAATAGAAATTGGGTATGTCAAAGAGACAAACATATGAAAATAGAATATAGAAAATAGAATTTGGGTATGACAAAGAGACAAAAATATTAAAAATAGAATATAGACAAAAGAAAGGGGGTATGCCAAAGAGACAAACATGAAAATAGAATATAGACAATAGAAATGGGGTATGTCAAAGAGACAAACATATGAAAATAGAATATAGACAATAGAAATGGGGTATGTCAAAGAGACTAACATATTAAAATAGAATATAGACAATAGAATTTCGGTATGACAAAGAGACAAAAATATTGAAAATAGAATACAGACAAAAGAAATGGGGTATGTCAAAGAGACAAACATGAAAATAGAATATAGACAATAGAAATGGGGTATGCCAATGAGACTAACATATGAAAATACAATATAGACAATAGAATTTGGGTATGACAAAGAGACATAATATATTGAAAATAAAATACAGACAAAATAAATGGGGTATGCCAAAGAGACAAAAATATTAAAAATAGAATACAGACAAAAGAAATGGGGTATGTCAAAGAGACTAACATATGAAAATAGAATATAGACAATAGAATTTGGGTATGACAAAGAGACAAAAATATTAAAAATAGAATACAGACAAAAGAAATGGGGAATGTCAAAGAGACAAACATTTGAAAATAGAATATAGACAATAGAAATGGGGTATGTCAAAGAGACTTACATATGGAAATTGAATATAGACAACAGAAATGGTGAATGTCGAAGAGACAAACAAACCAAAATAGAATATAGACAATAGAAATGTGGTATGTCAAAGAGACAAAAATATGAAAATAGAAGAGACAACAAGTTAATAAAAACAATTCTACATGATATAAAAATTATGGAGCACTGTTATTTTTCTGCATAAAGGAATGCCTGTATACAGTTGTTTTTTATTTGTTTGAGCTTTTGATTTTGCCATGTATTTTCTGTGGAGATTGGTATTTTGGGTTATTTACTTTTTAAAGCAACAACTCATCACAATGAAGTATTTACACTCAAAATGAGCTCCTGACAGCAAAAAAAGATAACAAAGAAAAACATATTAAAAAATCAAAACATAACCCTAAAAAACCTACTGCAAAAAAAACAAACATATATATACAAACCATGTTAAGAATCTATGAGAAAATAAATGCATTTGAACAATTAAAATCATATAAAAAGTATATGTTTAGGACCAAGACAAAATCATATAAAAAACATATTGGATTGCTGCTCACATGGAAGCTATTAAACCAATAGTTCCAAATGGTGAAGTTGAAATCATCCCTTCGTAAATTTTACGGACGCCATCACAAGTCGGTTGACCGTTATGGAATAACCGTTTCACAGATGATATCGGATATGTTCCTTATGTCGTAACTACAATCCCTTCCCTTTTCACGAATGTGACCTACCGAATTAGACTATTTACCGGATTTGTAATAACATAAGCAACACAACGGGTGCCACATGTGGAGCAGGATCTGCTTACCCTTCCGGAGCACCTGAGATCACCCCAGTTTTTGGTGGGGTTCGTGTTGCCTAGTCTTTAGTTTTCTATGTTGTGTCATCTGTACTATTATTTGTCTGTTTGTCTTTTTATTTTTGACCATGGCGTTGTCAGTTTGTTTTCGATCTATGAGTTTGACTGTCCCTCTGGTATCTTTCGTCCCTCTTTTGAGCCAAACATATGAATACATATGTTTAGGACAAACATATGAAAACATATGTTGAAGCCAGGTATGAAAACATATGAAAAACATATATTTGTAAAAATCATATGAAAAACATATGTTTTCCATATGTTTACATGTATGAAAAACATACGTTTTACATATGTTTTCCATATGTTTTTCATATGTTCGGAAACATATGTTTTCATGTCGGGCCTAAACATATGTTTACATATGTTTTTAAACATATGAAAAACATATGTTAAACATATGAAAACATATGTTGCAATTTTTCCTATGTATGTCATTAAAGTTTGTGAAAAAGCTCAGCATGAGTTATCATGAAACATTAAATGGCCGACAGCGGTGTATTGTATTATTCAAACGACAAACCTTTCAATGCAATATTTTTATTCTTAACGGGATACATACCACATAAGGGAGTTACGTGACTCTATAAAAATCAGCTGAACGTTTTAATCACATACTAATGTAAAGAGAAATCAAGTTTCTAAATGAAATTATTCCTGTAAATTGTGTTATTCAAATTTCTTGATTTTTTTTATTTTTGTAAAAAGGTCAAAGGAAATATCAAACGAGCCAAATCTATTTTAGTCAAAGTGTTGGGTACCCCCTGAATCAACTAATATTTTGTTCCTCACTCAGAATGTTTTTTACAAAGCCAGTGTATCAGATTTGTAGTCAGTAACAGAAATTCATATAAGCACCTAATAATCGCTAGTGTAGCTAATGGCTCTGTCAACTTGTGTTTTGTAGGTACGACATGCATAAAGATACTAGTATGCATAACGTTTGATATCTCATTTGCAAAAGAAAAAGAAATTCATACCATATGTTCATAGAGATAAATAAGATGAAATAATACTCCGAAATATACTAGTTCAGATCATGCAATCGTTATGACAGCTTAGAAAATGGAAAATCAAATGAAATGCACGCAATAGACTTAGCTTTGTGAAGACTAACTTGTATCATTCTTTAAGGAAAAAGTTTAGATAAAAGAGGAAATGAACTTCCTTTGATGTTCGTGATTATAAGATCTAAAACATCAAACCAATTATATCAAAGTATGTGCTTGATATTACGCTGTCTTTATACTGTTTCTTTCTTCCGTTTATTCCGCATAACAGAACATAAAGGATAAAACAAAAATAATTAACCTGTAAATAAAGGCTATATTTGACTTTGAGCTTAACTGTAATCGGACTTAAAGTTTAAGCAACATTTTGGTTTCACAATGAAGTGATAGTTCGATCGACGAAATTCAGTGTCAGTTGGATAAATGGCTTTTATCTCGCTTTCAGTAACTGCGAGTACTCTCAAATCGTACTTCTGTGTTAATTTGACCTGTTGACACAACTTGTTATGCATTTCCATTATTCAATGTTTACTTATTTTGTGTTATATCTCGTCTTACCATTTTTAATATGTACCACTTTTGATAAAAGAGGAACGAAAGATACCGGAGGGATAGTCAAACTCATAGATCGAAAACAAACTGACAACGTCATGGCCAAAAAATAAAAAGACAAAGAGACAAATAATAGTACAGATGACACAACATAGAAAACTAAAGACTAAGCAACACGAACCCAATCAACACTGGGGTGATCTCAGGTGCTCCGGAAGGGTAGGCAGATCCTGTTCCACATGTGGCACCCGTCGTGTTGCTTATGTTATTACAAATCCGGTAAATAGTCTAATTCGGTAAGTCACATTCGTGACATGGGAAGGGTATTGTAGTAACGACATAAGGAACATATCCGATATCGTCTGTGAAACGGTTATTCCATAACGGTCAACCAACTCGTGATGGCGTCCGTAAAATTTACGAAGGGATGATTTCAACTTCACCATTTGGAACTCTTGGTTTAATAGCTTCCTTGTGAGCAGCAATCCTCTATCAAGGAAATCATGATAGGAAACACAAGCCCGGGAATATCGTATCAATTGGGAGATATATACTCCGTATGCAGGTGCATCTGGAATGTTGCTACATAGAAATGGAAAGTTCACAATAGGGAAGCTGAAATCATCTCTTTTGTCGTAAAGTTTTGTTTTCAACCGACCCTCATTGTCAAGTTCTAGATATTAGTCAAGTTATGAGGCAGACTTAACTGTATCTGTAGTATCCTTTATCTCTAATTCGATTGGATAGATTCGTTCAACATAGTCACCAAATTTTGTATTATTTAGTGAGAGAACATCATATATATGGCGGAACGTAGAGTTAAAGGATACTGCTAACTTCTTATCTTTCTTCCTCAGAAGTTCCTGTATGAAGTCAGCCTCATAATAATAAAGAAACAAGTCGGCAAGAAGAGGGGCACAATGGGTTCCCATTGGAATTCCGACAGTCTGTTGAAAAACACGTCCTCAAAACGTAACAAATATGTATTTAGTATGACGAAAAAAAAATTCACTTCTGTTCTCGTACTATGAATAACAAATTTATTTGGTAAAAAATGTT